TTTCTGGAGTAACTGTACTTTTTCTGTGTCTGCACAGGAGCTCAAATGCTCTCAGAATAGGTTGAACAATCAACAACGTGTTTGAGATAGAAAACAGGGCGGCAAACACTGTTAAGGCTGCTAACTTAAACTAGCAAGTCTTACTAGATTAGGTCTGGCCTCTGATCTTGGAGAAAATAGCCACCTGTCTGTTTCTGGGTGTGATGGTTAGAGGAATGTGCAAAGGACCGATTACAGTTTTGTATGTGCCTGTAAAATAACACAGATGCGAGAAAACGTTTTCAGTTAATTCATATTTGGCTAAAATTCTTGATTTCATAGTGTATCAGTCACTATCATGTAAACCACCACTGCAGCCAGTAACTACAGACGTTTTCTTTGCAAATAGTGATCAGTGAATGTAGAAACGCGATTCTGTATGACTGTTGGTAGCATTAATAAATGTGCAAGAAACGTAATAGCAAACATCAGTTCAAGCATCATTATTTTATGTTTAGATTTCCTACAGATGTTATCTGCTACTACAGCCTATATCTCAGATGAACTGCAGCTCTGTGATGAAACCATAAAATGCTGACCAAAATATGCATAAGAGCCATAACCTGCATTAGTGTATGTAGATAATGTTGTTGCAATTCTGTCTAATACACAAGTAATGTTACACAGTAAACTAAGAAAACAGTCTAATGTAGGACCAGCTCTTAATGTAATGGTTGAAGCAACGCATGAAACACCATTTTCTTGCAAAAAACCAAGCCAAGATTTATTCTGGTTCTGGTTCGTAATTTGTTTGTTGTTGTTTTTTTAATTTCACACAAAGTTACTCGAGGGCTATCTGCGCTAGCCATCCATAATTTTAAAGCGATCGGATAAAGGGAAATCAGCTAGTCAACATCACTCACCACAAACTCTTGATCTATTCTTTACCAACGAATAGTGAAATTTACTGCCACATTATAACGCCTCCAAGGTTGAAAAGGCGAGCATGTTCGGTGACGGGATGGTTTATAATCGTGGCAGCAAAGTAGTAGAAATACCAACAAGAAAAATATTAGGTACAGTGTGGAAAGAAGCAGCTTAAACTAATAGTTCAGCTAGTATTACTTCGGCCACATTGCACTATAAAACCAAAATCACGGTTGCCCATACACTTGAGACTATTGTGTAGGTAATCTCACTCCAGATTAAGAGCGAGAACTTGGAAGGCTATTGACAGATTTTATTTATGAAAACAGGCAGTAAGTTGGGAAGAACAAATCTTACCCAACCACCATCATGTATATACTGGAGATATCCATCCTATTAAATAACCATCATGTATATACTGGATATATCCATCCTATTAAACAACCACCATCATGTATATACTGGAGATATCCATCCTATTAAACAACCACCATCATGTATATACTGGAGATATCCATCCTATTAAACAACCACCATCATGTATATACTGGAGATATCCGTCCTATTAAACAACCACCATAATGTATATACTGGAGATAACTAGTGCTGAGGTAGATTTGATGTTGGAGGATGGATTCATTAGACCTATATAGAGTGTTTCGTCATCACCAGTAGTTATTGTCCAAAAAAAAAGGGAAATGAACCAAGGATGTGTTTAGACATTAAGTGGACAAATTTGGTCATGCTTATCACATTTCCGTTACTGGGAACATACTAATGTTTTGGTGCATTTTAAGTATCGCACTAAACAACCTAAGTAGAGTTAAAACTATTTTCAGTACTCTGGAAGCGTTTTATAAATTTATTGTTATGCTAATTGTCTTCTGTGATGTGCCAGTTTTGAGCAGCTGATGAAACTCACATTACGTGGTTTACAGTGGGAATAGTGTATGCGTTTCATTGACGATACGTTAGTGTTTGTTCATATGTTTCAAAACACAGTTGAAAATCTATGTATGGTATTTCAACATTCGTGATAAACAGGTCTGATGCTGAATCTAAAGAAATGTTTTCTCATGTGAATACGTTGAAGTCAGGCATGTCATAAGTAGAGACTGAGTACCTACAGATCCTGGTAAAATCTAAATGGTGGTAAAGTTGCCTGAAACTACATACGAGAAGGAAACCCAAAGCTCTTTCGGATTTGCGTCAAAATATAAACGTTTGTGGTAAATGTTTGGTTAATAGCAGCGTTGCTTTTTAAGTAGACCGAAGTCTGTGCACAAATGTGCTTTGGTTGATGTTTCAGTGATAACTTATCTGAAGAGAGATATTTCATACGTCCTAGATAAGGATGACAGCAACAGCAAAATCAGAGCAGTACAGTCACAAGTTTAAGACATTGTAGAGCATGTTTTATATTGTATGCAAGCCATACACTCACGTCTGTTACTGTATACGATAAAGAAATAACTAGCAGTAGTAGTATTTGTTAAGTATTTTGAATTATCTTTGTATGACCGTAAATTTATATCTCTGGTAGATCATGCATTATTAAAATGGCTGATGAACCTTAGGAACTGGAAGACATGATTGCACGTTTGACCACAATGTTGCAGGAGCACAATTTTGCTGTCCAACATTGATTGGTCCAAAAGTATGAAAAGGCAGGCAATCTTTTTTTCCTGGGAAGAAACGCTTGTCCATTTGTAGAATGTCCAAATCTCAGATAGTTGAAAACGTATTATAAGATGGTAAAAGATTCTAGGTATGGCTCTAATATACTCTAGCATTTCTTCAAACACTTAGATATGGCTGTAATAGACCTTTTCTTGTTTTGCAATGACTTACTTTGTCGAAGTACAGAATTCCATATTCACTTAGTGTGTGAAACACGTCAATAATCTGAAATTTTATGTTATGAATGAGTTTCTTCAACCCTGACTTGACTATGAAGTGGAATGTGAACAAGTCAAAACCATACACAATGATGAGAGCATTGTGAAGCACTACTCTGATTCAGTGGAAGAAGAAGCAGTGGAAAGCAGTCACGAACCTTCTCTAACTGTTTATGAAGAGCCAGAATTTGTAACCTAGTGGATGCATGGCCACATTGGTAATGTTCGCCCCCTAGTCGATACGGCTAGGGATGAGAGAAAATATTTTGATAGTTAGTAGGATGGGTCGTCCAGTAGATTAACTGCTTAAAGGCATTAGAATGTTTACTTTCCAAGCTGTATTATGAAAAGGAGCAAAATTTCGATAATATATGTGAGTTTTATACATATTAGCCCATATGTGACATTTCTGTAACATATTTTTTTTTGCTATGTATGCATATTAGTCCATATTTGTGCTCAACTACAAACAAACAAGGTATTTAGGTGTGAGAACCTGATGTGTTTAGAAATTTCTTTATTTCTCTTCACTAAAGGAAACTTCCCCATATTTTCCTTTATAAACTATAAGTATTAGCTACGTATTTATCTGAATCTCATAATTACAACTTAACCATCAGCTGCCATTTTCTTATCATATTCAGAAAAAAAGCTTTAATTTTCTTTCAACTTCACATTGTAACTTGTCTCTTTCATAAAAGCTGAAATATGTCACTACACCTTCTCTCCCACGTATTAAACCCACAATCCTCTTGTTTTTCGGAGACTGGGAGACTGTGAACTAGACATGTGAATTACCATAATTTTATTCAATGTAAAATTCTCGTTTGCTGTTTTTAATTATTAGGAGCAGTAAGACAAATTGTAAAATTGCTCACACATTTAGGTATTTTTTTCATAATTTAACTTTAGATACATATTAAGCTCATTGTCACCTTTATCACAAAACCAGTCACAAACTAAGCATATTTCATCTGGATATTTTAAAGTGCACAAAACCTTGTGAATTTTCATGATAGTCGTGATAAAATCCGGGTATTAAAAATGAAGAAGTAATAATAACCCATTTTCAACATGTTCTTTATATTGAACTGGCTGATTGATATAGATATTCATTGCAAGTGGAATATATAGACGCCCCTGGAGAATGACATAGGGGCGCCAGATCTGAATGCTTCCCCCAGTATCACTCCCACGGTACCTTTGAAGTTTGGTAGAGATAAATAGAAAAGTACATTAGGTCAAATCCGAATGCAAAACCTTTATGTCATTCCCTAGGTGCCCTAAGGGCACTGGCGTAATTATGTTCAGGCAGCCCTCGCAATTGCGGGGGGAGGGCCTGGAGCCAAAAGGGGGCCCGAATCGTAACTACCTTAATAGAGAAATAAATTTTGGGGGGTCCACTTACTTTTTATCCAGGGGTGGCATCTTTTGTACTTTCGCCATTGCATAAGGGTTCTTTCGAAGTTTGGTCGAGATTAATTGAATAGTGCGAAAAAGGGTGACACATGGCTTAATGCTTTCAAAATCAGGAATAATGCTGTCTTCAAATATTAGTGAAACTCGAAAATTTACAAAATTGCATTTGTGGTGTATAATAATACAATTCTTTTTCTACCCTTTTATATTAATATAGCATTATTGTACATTTATCAGTTATTCTGAACATGTGCAGTTTTCACATAATAGAAGGTCAACAAGGTCTTCCTTAAGTTGTTCTTGTCCTACTTGCTTTTTTTTTACTATTTATCTTTCTATTTAGGTCGATCCCACAGCTAAATGAATAAACAGTTTTACCCGACCCGACTGAAAATACACATTCTCTTTTGTATCTGTCCGATCACAAAATAGGAACCAGAATGCGGAAATATCTCTGCTCCACGTGACAGACATAAAGTAATCCTCTATAGTGAGTGTGTACACAAGGTAAAGTGAATACAATACGTAACTATTACATGAAATAATAGGTGATTTCCTAAGATGTACAATCTAAAGAAAGTAACAAGTCGGGTCGAATTTAGCACATGATTTCAAAGAGATTTAGGATATCGCAAATTAGAATTAAGAAAAACTCAAAATGTTTTTTCAGATCGAATATATATACATGTACTCTAATAGAGTGGCATATAGTAATTATCTGCTACACCTTTATTCACAACGATACTTTTTGTTTTATGTACAGAAACGCTTTTTCTAAGATGGCGTGATTATAAATGTAATTTATATTAAGTTATGTTTGTCAAGGGATATAAGTATTATGCCTATTTTATTTGTTAACATTGTGTTTTTCATTTAGTCCCCTACGTTTTTTACTGGAAAAAGAGTGTATAAAAATATTTCGACAACACTATGTCAGCCACAGCTGTTGGCGAAGGTGTTTGTAGGTTTTTCAAAATCGACTGTTCGTACTTTGGCACTTTTGATTTCCTAAAAGTACTTTCTTCTTAACCATAATAACAAAACATGGGTTTCAATAGAGTCTAACTTCATTTATTCAGTATTTCAGCAATTTGTAATGATTTATGTATAAAATTTATTTTCTTTGAAATAATATAGATGTAAAAAATTGGTGTAGTAGCGTTTGTAAGTTGTAGTGAAATACTAACGTTAATACTAGATGAAATATAAGAAACGAATTTTAATTCCATAGCTATTAAAACACTATCCATCTGCTGTATTTTAAATACGTTTGCTAGTATTTAAATATATGCACCTGAATTGAATGAGTCACCTGCAAGGGGTTTATTTGTCGTACAGAGTGAACAAGGCCGTATTCTTCTTGGCCTGAAGAATATACGCTCACCCTTCCGTGGGACATCTTTTCGTACCGATTACCGAAGTCTTGCCATTGAGGTTTGTTTTATTTAGGCGAGTGTGTGTGTGTATGATCACCATTAAGTTAATCAAAGTCTTTATTTTACTGGTTTATTGTAATTTTATTGCTGTTTTGTCTAAAAATGACATTAAAATTAAACTCTTCTTCTCTTCTTTTTTTTCGGAGTAATTTATTATACACACATATTTAGGCCTAGCTTACAATTTATGCCCGGTGTCTCCTCTTTTATCAACTAATTAAGTCTTAACTTAACCTTTTTTTTTAAATTTAAAAAGCGGGACTTTCCGACAACCTTCAGTTTTTTTGGTTTTTGTTTTTATTTTTGAAATTAAAAATACGCACATATTATGAGTAAGATTGTGGACAGTAGTAAAATATCCGATGTGTGGCGATGGGCAGATTCAGTAAATATTAAAATAAATAAGTAAATTCAGGGCCAGAGCGAAACTTTAATTTTGATTTTAGAAGAACAATAAAAAGAAAGGTTTCTTAGGATAACAACTAACGTATGTAATTAACATTAACAAGGCTTACAAATTACACTTACAGGTAAATTTTGTGTTATTTTATATTTGTAAGCATATTTATATTTTGAGAAACAAAATTTGGGTAGATTCCTAGTTAAAAACGTTTTTGAGTAATAGACTATTTGTGAGTTCTATTTAAAAGTTAAACAAGTACTTTCAAAATTTTAAAGTATAGAAAAATTGTTCCTAATCCTACTCTAAAAGGCCATCAATCATAATGAATGGTTACATTCATTTCCTGTTTTGCAGTATAAACCATCAGATTACTCTACATACAGTGTTTTCTGTGATTGATAAAAAAGTGGAGTTTTTTTTTTTTCAAGATAAGCATTAACTCTGTGGCCTAGCATTTAATAAATCTTTAACTTTCATCATATTTAACTCATAAGCCTTGAAGGTATTTTCCTAATCTTTTCTTTACAACATCATTATTAACTATTAACAGGGGTAACAACTGGGAGACAACATGGAAATGTTTGCAATTTTCATTTATGAAGTGATGGAGTATTACTGTATAGAGAACATACATAATTTAATTGCTTGATTTTCATTTTCCTTCTATCTTATTTTGCAATCGAAGTTCTAGTGGTCTCTTAGACTTTTCTCACTTGGGTTCCTTCACCATAATATTACAAAAAATTAAGGACCACAGCAAATAATGAGAAATTCTTTGCAGATCTGACTGTCACTACTTTAATGTCATGATGTAATTAGATTGTTCAATCTACAGGGCAATTTTCAATTATTGTAAAGTGTTTTATTGATCAAGATCTTTCTTTTTCCGTTTTTCTGACTGTAGATGTCTCTGAAATGTTAAATAGTTACTCATTCCTTTGTAATTGTGCTTCCTTACATTAGTTTTATATTCTTTTTCTCCTGCTAATTTTTTTCTTTCCAGAACATTTTTGTTATATTTGAAGTGCGTCTTTCTTACATGTTTTAACTTCTGTCTCTTTAATTACATTCGTTTTGCCCTCCTGTTTTCTTTCATGTTTTAACAAGTTCACAATTTTTCACTTCTTTGTACTATTAGTTATGAACTGAAAATGTATGTATATATTTAAAATGTTCCGAGTGCTTATGACTATTCCAAAATACAGCTTAGTTGTTTTCCCCCACGTATTATAATCTGAGACAGTCAACGTTTTTTTAACTTGTGAATGTTAAAAACAATAGAATTTAATTAGTATACAAGTCCCACACAACAATTAAGTACAATTTACAGTTAATAACAACAGATATGCTTGTTTACCATACTTATCAATGGTCAAATTAAAGTTTTCTAGTTACTTTCAAACATTTTGATGGTTACTGATAAAGACTAGCTAGCTGATTCAGAATGGTTTAAAAAAGGTTGTGGCAAAAAGAACCTTTTATCTTTAGATTATAGTGCTAATTTTTGCCTGCCTACTACAAGTTTCATTTACCATACTTAATTTCTTGTATTAGACTTGTGTGGTCTTAAATAGGACAGAAATCTTACTGTTTAAAAAAACTGACACAGTGGAATGCTTCTATAGAAGCTATAAATGAAATGTTGAATGTCTGTTTAAAGAAACAAAATAAATTTATGTTGTAAAGTTGTTTATTATCAGTATTAAAATGTCGTTTGTACTCCAATATGCACCAAAGAAATAAAGTAACAAAGTTTTTTCCATACTTGAAAACAATGCCATTTCAAATAATGTAGGTAAAACAGATTACAACTAAAGAAATCAATATTCTGATATAAAGGTCTATTTGTTCTAGAAAAGGAATATTGGAGCTGTTAAAGAAATGGTTAACTTGAGTGCATTTATCAACATCATCATAGCTTTCTGGGGGGGATGTTTTGGTGTGGTGAAAACCAGAATAAAGTCTAAAAACATTATGTGGTACCAGTTCTACACCAATACTATTTTTTTTACTGCTGATCCTATTGGTATTTTTGTTCTCTTATGGAACAAAAAAAAACATTTTATACTTGAATTTAGAAACAACTGTTTTTAAATAAAAATACACACCTTCTTACCTTTGGTGCTACTATAGTGTGTGGTCTACCCAGATACTATCATCATCACTGTTTTAATGATTCACTAAAACATAATTTCTTGCTAAATGATTTATGTCTATCCACGTTTTTTTGTTCAGCAAATAATAATAATTTAATAAGTTGTGTGTTCCAAAAGATTACCTTAAACTTAGGTTTTAATTGCACTAGTTTTGGTTGTTGGAACTTACTTCATTCTGATTATATTTGCCCCCAAAATGTTATGTAATGGTATTTTGTACTTTATTAGTTTAAAAGCGTATTTATAATAACTGGCACTATTTGCAAATAAACGAAAGTTAAAACAGTGATGATGATAGTATCTGCGTAGACCACACGCTATAGTGTAAATATCTTTGTAGACCACACGCCATAGTTGCACCTTAACGTTGGGGGGGGGGACAAAATCACATATTTTTTAGACTTAAGTCGTCGGGATTTGTATGCTCAAATTTGTTTTACAGATTTCTATATAAAAAAAGTTATAAATTATTTTCCAAGCCCATTAGTACTTATCATGACAATAAGCTATTGTATAGTAATTTAATTCTTAATTTTTATTAGGTATAATCATTGTATCAAAAAGTGTTTTAATTGGATATTTTCATATTCAGATATTGTATTTAAATGTCTTAGTTCTACATTTTTGGCAACAGTCTGTATTGTACATGTCTGAAACAGTTAATCCTTGTAATATATAAGTAGTAATGTGTGTGTTATAGATATGATGAGATGACATCTGTAGAAATTGTAATAAGTAGTAATGTGGGTGTTACAGGTATGGTTATATAGCATCTATATAACTTACAAAGCTAACAACAGCTGCAGACTTGTTGAAATTGAAGAATAAACTTTGTATTAGGACTAACTGTACATGGATGAATGGGTGAGTGTATCAATATATCTTGCAGATTTTTTAAAAATAATTTATTTTGTAGACTATTTATGGTATGTTATTATAAACCTTCATGTGAATATTTCAAACAGTCTATAAACTTTAACATTAGTTTACTAGTTTCTTAATTTATAATGCACTATTGCATTAAAAATGTAACTTCCATTGAGACCTCTTGTGTCTGAATTAACTTACATAATGGGAACAGCATAGGTCACGAATCACTGACTAATATTATGCTCTTTTTATTTTATATCTGAAGAAAAAAAGACCATCAGTGTGAACACTTAAAGCCCTGGGGACAAACCTGCTGAAGTGATAAAACAATTAAGAATTTATTCAAAGCCCTAATTCTCCAGTGCTTGACACCTACCTATGTAACATACATCAAACCCCGAAATATTTAAAACTGTGAGGGTTGATTTCAAAACTTATTCCATAATACCTTAAATGAACAATACTATTCTCAACCTCATGACCATGGCATTAAAATTGTGTTTTGTAACTTGTTACCAACTTAATAATAGAAAATTCGCTTGATTTCACCTTTGAAACACCCTTTGTTCTACTGAAGAAGAATAGTCAACTATTCGAAAGCGCTCGAGTTTTGGGTCTTATTTTAAGTCTTTGACACACCCTGTCTGTCTGGTGTGTGTATATGTATCTGTATTTTTATACTATAGATAAGAATGTCATTGTAAATCGGAAACTTAGCACATTAATAGTCAAGTTAAATTTGATACCAATTGATTTAAAGAACAAGTGAAACTACCAAATTATCTAGGAATTTACTGTGAAAATTAAAAGTGAGAAATGTAGTAATTTAAGAGTATAAAGGATCTGATCTTAAGATGATTTATCAACCTTCTATTACTTTTTTACCTTCTGTATTATAATCATGTAAAAAATAATGAAATCATATTTTTGTGGCTCACAGGTGAGGTAATTATTTCAGCATTAGTGAATAACTACTTCTTTGTGTGTTTTTTAACTACGTTTTATTATTTCCAGTTGTTACAAAGAACCAGGATTCAATTTTACCATTAGCCAAAATCTGGTACATGACTAATGTCTTTGTTACTCTACATCAATGGGTTTTTAAGGGTTAAGATAATGTATTTACTGAATTTAATTTTTCAGTTTTCAACCTGTTAAAATTCCTGTGTAACTTAATTTTACGGGGAGGGAACCTTTGTTTGAAGTGATACAGCACATTTTTCATTGTTATTGTTTGAAATATACCAAAGTTTTCAACTTAGTTGCTATTAGTTTTGTAGACAAGTTAGCCTAGAACCATAAAATAGTTATATGGTAGCAGATATTCACTACCCATTATCAAGTTTGAGATTTTATTTTATAATTATTTTAAAACATTCTTTAAACTTTAAGGCATTATTTAATTGTTAACTTGCTAAATCCTGTAAAACAGATAGTTTAAATTACATTTTATTTACTTATATTAGGTAGATTTGGTGTGTTTTCAAACCAACTCTGTGATACCTTGGATTTTTGTAACCTTGGTGACTCAGAGCAGGCAGTTGAAAGGTACGACAATTATTACATATGTGAAACATTTTAGCAAATAACACACTTAAAAATGTTTGGTTTACCAACTTCCCAAAAAAAAAGTGTGCTTTTTGTGAGGTGCTTGTAAGCAATTGTATACAGTAAATTTTACAATTCAAGTAGTTGCTAGATATTAATTATAAAAATATATATTTTAATAATTTATAGCCTAAATCATGAGCTTAACCAAAGCACGATTTAAGTATTATATTTACAGTGCTTATGCTTTAGATGTACACACAAAACATGGTCTTATTATTCTCTATTTCTTTAGTGAGCTACACCATTATTAATAATTGAAGGTATTTCGGTATTTCTTAAATATGTGGAAATATATATATTATTTTTCAAAGGAAAGAAAATCTTTTTCTTCGTAGTCTGATTGGAAAATAATGTAGGATTTGTTAAGTGAAATAAGATAAAACCATCTCTGGATGTGAAATGATTGACTTAGAAATAATGAATAAGTAAATAATGTACCAGATTGTGTGTGTAGCCAATGTATTTGTGTAATTTTGAATAGGTTTGTTGCTAAACAAAAAAAATTAGACAAACAATCATAATATAATTAAAAATTGATAACTCGGATAAACAGTGTGGTAAATGAAAAATATTGAGAAAAACTTAATGTCTTAGATATTGACTTAAGGCTTATTTACAGTTATAACTCCACGTGCATCCTAATGTTCTTATTACTATTATAAAGGCTTTTTACTACATACATCTCCAAACAATATTAAAGAAGTTTCAAAGCTTATCATTTTCTTTAGAACAAAGTTGTTGCTGTTATTATAAGAAGAAAAATCAAAACCTTGTTTCATGAATATGTGATTTAAAAAACTAATAATAATCTTGGTGAAGTTATTCTAACTACAACTTGTTACTTTTTATGATTTCTATCTGTAACAATGGTTAAATTCAAGATTACTTTTAATTGTAGGTGCCTACAAGGATCTGGGAGGAGACTGCTTGGCAATCGAAGAGCTTTTGGGATCATTGTTATTCTAGCTCTGAGTTTTTGGATATGGTTGAACTTTCATTTCATCCTTAAGACATCAAAAGCAAAAGTGGGTATTTTTTTGTTTTCTTAAATGGTCACCTAATATGAAATTTAAAACAAAAAATGTGTGTGTGTGTATTTTATACTTAAAAATTGGTATGTGATCGACTTGTCACGTGTGTTTTATATAAACATGTTGACAAGACGAAAGTGGATTTTAAAATAATGTGATATGAAAGCGACTTTTCATACCTTATTGAAGTTATTTAAGTTTAAAATGATTTTACTTTTGGTATGAATGTAGATCTAGTAATGAAAGTTCAATTCCAATTAAAAGACATAAAACCAATCAGTTTTTAAACTTTTATCAAATTATATCATAAAGTGCTGTATCGCAAATTATTAGCACTTATGAAATAATCCTTTGTTTTCTGTATTTTGAAACTTTTCACAACATTAAATGTGTGCGAGTAGAATGCATACAGCTGTGCAACTTCAATAAAGATATTGTTGAATAAATTTATGGTAATAAATGTAACCATCAGAAGGATGGTAAATAAATCTGTAGATAATTTGATTGAGGAAATAATATAGTGATATCTTAGAATTTTGTAAATTTATCAGAATGTGAAACTTGCTTGGTTAACTAGGTTAGTTGTTGGTGAAATAGTTGTCCTAAGATTTTGTATCAGGATTGAGATATGGAAGTTGATATGTCAGAAGTCAGTACTGCACCAGCACTCATGCATAACACAAAGCATGTTTATTGTCATGTACATGGTTAATATGATTCACCTACTGGAATGTATAATTTCCAAATTCTTAACAGAACTATGCATCAAGGGAGCACTCACTATTTTATAACTTAACTTTGAACTAAATTCAAAAGAAGTGTTAGTTATGCTTGGACACCATTTAATATTATACGCATGCAAACCAAAGAAACTGTTACCTTGTCTTGCTTTATTAAAATTACATATAGATAGAATATTACCATCTATTTACTTTTCAGTTCTTCAGTGTGTATAGTTGCTTTTATTAAAGAGCTTCATTTACGTGAAAATACAGATGTTCTACACATAGAAATTACATGTATGAATTTTTTTTCAACTCTCATTTTTTATAATCAAAACGACAGACATTCTACTACTGTAGAAAACAATTGGCATGGCAAAAATTTTGTTGTGTGACCAAATTTCAGATCACAAACTTGGTAAACTTCAGAAATGTTATAATTTTTAACTTTCTGAGATCGATACCATCTAGTGGTTAGCATGTTGGGCTGCTGGTTGGAAGTTTCATGGTATGAGTAGCAATATGCCACTGAACATTATAACTGAAAATCAATGCCTATTTAATAGTAGACTTATATTAAGTAGTAGTTGCTGATGATTGTTTGCTCTCCTTCTAATCAGTAGTTCTAAATTAGGGATGGCTGTACCTGAAACTTCTAGGGGTTTCTGACCTGGTCATTTAACTCGTATGTTGCGTAGGTTTGTGTGCAAGTTGAAAATATGAAATATTTTAAGTTTCTTGTTTCAGTAATCCAGAAATCATATGTGATGTTTTTATAATGAAACATCAGATTTATTGAGATTTCACTTCACCTAAAAGTGTTAGTTTTTTTAATTAACATTTTTATTATTAAGAAAAAATTCTACCAAATGGTTACTTTTCAATACAGACAAACCAGCAAATAATTCAGCAGTTAAGTAGACTTGAAGTTGAAATACAGCAGTTTGTGAAATATAACTCTGAGTTACTGGAGTCTTTTCATGTTTATGAGAGACGTAAGTCCATTTTAATTTGTTGAGTTTTTATAGTTTGTTTATAGCTTCTTTCTTTTTTTTTGCAATAAAAGTGCAAAATTGTTTTGAAGCCTAAATATTTTTTCAGTAGACTTGATGAAATATGCGTGCAATGTCAGAATTTAAATTTAAGCTCATTTTAGATGAGTCTCATTCATTTTTTTATGTTTACCTGGTAAAAAAAATTGTCTTCATGGTTGGATATCATGAGACATTAAATAGGTAAATACTTAAGTAAAATTAATGAGTTAAAGATCTTGGATAAATATGATATTGCCCATTCATATTTAAACATGAAAATGACTATATATAATATATATATATATATATATATGCTCTAAATTAAAAGGCTTCTTAAATTCGACATTATTTTAATGTGTTCTTTTCACTCAATAGTGGTTTAATGTATTGTTACAGATTTCCATCAGTTGTTAAAGGAAAATGTGATCCAGAAAGGGTCATACAACAATGATATATTTGTAAATAGTATAAATGAAAAGGAATTCAATAGTACAGAGAAAGACATAGTCATTGGAGTCCTGGTTATTGCTTGCAGCCGTGCCAGTGTCAAAAGAAATTTAGATCAACTTTTAAAGTAAGTTACATGATATATCAAAATCTTTCTGATTATTGTCATGTCTCCATGTTAGACAAAGGCTGGTCTGATGGTTAACAGAAATGCAGCTTTTGTAAGTATATCAAAACATTATTTTAGACACACACACACACACACACACACACACAACTGTCTTATATATAACAATTGTGCTTGATTTGTCAGCTATAACTGAAAAATGTTTAACTTATATAAATTTAAAAATGTGTTTTTTTGCATGTTTCATGCTCCTCTTTTGGTAAACTTGCAAGCTTATAATGCTAAATGTGTAATAAGATTCCCATGGTCAACACAGTGCAGGTTGTCCATTGTGTTGCTTTGGACTGTAAATAATAAGAGAACAAAGAAACAAGATTCATGCATAAATAATACTTATTTTAAACCAGAAATGTTTTATTTACCTTTTATATATATATATATATATAATTATTGATACAATGTTTTTATAATTCACTATTATTGCAGGCCGTAAGTTTCCCTTGGAGTCTGTTTTATGGTTTTTCTACTTCATATAAGTATTCAAATAGATAAAAAATAAGTATATTTCAGTGAAAAACTCATCTTTTCAACACACTAAATGCTATGGTTGGCTTGGTGGTTAACATGTCTGGTTGTTGGTCTGAAGACCAAAGGTTTGAGCCATGACGTGCTGCTGAACACACTCTCTACTTTCAGATGTAGGGGCATTAAATTGTTCTACCTAATCACAGTATTTAATTAAGAGTAACTGCTCATTGTTTACACCCCCTTATGTCTGAACCCCTAGGGGTCTCTGATCTGGCCACTTCATATGTTACAAAGTTAGTTTTTAGGTAGAAAATATTGATACCAGCTCAATAAAGCCATTCAAACATGCTTGAATTGATGAAATTTCAATTTGTGGTTTTTTTTACTGCAGGAGGGTTTTTGCACTAGTCAATTTTATTGTTTGTTATCATAAGGTTTCTTATTGTTTTAATTCTTTCTAATTATAATACTAAAAAATTATTATTTCATTGTCTTTCCATAAAATGATGGATTTTATTTTTGTATGTTTGTGTGTGACGAGTGAAAGTGATTTAGCCATGTTTGCTTGCATGGGATGAAATTGTAGTGTGTGTGTGTCAGTATATAAAAGTGCATGCTTCTACTAATGCTTGCATAAACCTATGGATCAAATATTTCTGTTTACCGATACTGTTTTCCATACTAATGAAACAGCTTGTTCCGAGAGACATGGTTTGCATAGTCATGGTAAACAAATTTTACAGTACTGGAAATCCTGGAAAATGAATAGTTTTTATTAGGAGATTCTGGAAAAGTCTTAAACTTCATCTTATTTCCACATCTCTCATTTGTATTGATGACAAGCCTTTCATTGTGCTTATTTCAGTCTGCTTTTCAAAATAGAGTTTTCATGGTCACCAGTTACACTGTCTCTGGTGTTGGTGTTCCTCCAGACTCTACACCGCATTTTATCTCCCTTATTCTTCTAGTGGAGCATGGGAGTCCTTGACACTTTCCAGTTCCAAGCTGCTGGGGTGTTGGACCTTGGAGGACTTCTCCTGATTGTGTTTGCTTCCATTCAGTAGAGAGCAGGGTGGTGGTGTTCCACTGGTGTAGGTGGCATGTGATCCTCCAGTCATGCGCTCCATATCTGTGCAGTGGGTCCTGGAGGTTGATGGAAAGTGGCAAGCAAAGTACTCCTTGTCCACTTGGTTAGAGAGTGAAGATGAATGTTCATAATTCCAGACCAGATGAGTTGTGTTACTTTGGTTGAGTATGGCATACACAATCCCACCATTCAGAGCTTGGAGTGTTGCCTTTTGGACTTCTTCAGGTGGAGGAGAAAATTTGTCCACTTCGGTGTTGCTTACTTTCTCGTCGTGATTCCGGTGGTGCAAAATGGCTACAGATTGGAATCCAATTAAAAGTATATATAATATTGCAGTTCAATAGCCCTAGCCACCAACTTGGGATGTAGTTACCATGACCCCTTAATTCCAACCCTGAGTTGTGGAACCTCGGCTATCTGGTTGGGGCTGGCCTATACTAACAATTACTTGTACTCTATTCCACTTTTAATATAGAAACTGAGTTCCTGGTGAAGAGCATGCCTGTTCTGGATGTAGTGCAGTTCCCCTACTTTTGTACCATCTTTTAAATTGGTGTACTTCTGTTTTATACAGACGCTTTCTGTATGGTTTTAATGTCTGCACTGGCCCCTCCACCTTCTCAATGTGGGATTCTAGCTATAGTGTCGGTGGAGGTAAGTATGTTTTGGGAGTTAACATTTTCCTAAATGTTAACTTTTGGTGGCATTCATGTTCTTTTAAAATTAGTATATTAGATCCATGAGAATGACAGTTTGGTCCATAAAAGTCCTGTGCAAACCATGGAGAAAGAAGATCTGGTTTCCATTTTTAAAAAAAGCAAAGAAATAGCTGTTAACCTTTATGGATTTTTGTTTTAAATACAATGTCTCACCTGCAACAAAAACATTTTATTTGATGTAGTATTGTGATCAGTTTTGTTCAGTTGTTTGTGGAAGAATTAGGGTTTTTTTATGTGAGTTTATTGATATTAAAAAAGTTTACTCGTAGAATGCTGCTTTATTTTTCTCAAATCTATGCTCAAAATGAAATTTTAATACAATATAACTTTTCAAATGCATGCATGATGGTATGGTATACCTAGGCTATTTGAACAAATGCCTTGAGTTTGGCAGCTGTTTTCATTTTACCATGTGTTATTGCTACAGCTGAAGGCTCAACTGAGTGAGGTGGTCGGTAGTAAAAGAAGTGAAGTCGATACCTAGTGAAAGTGATGTTTACTGCCACATATAGTACAAGTACCTTTGCATCATACAAATGGTTCATGGGGTACAGCTCTGAATAATGGAAGGAATTGCCCACACCCCTATTAATAGCATTATTTTTTAAGTCTGGTATTTCTGGATACTTTTGTTAGTAGTTTATACTTTTAATGTGTAATAATTATGTAATGTTTTCAAAACACTTTCTATGATAACCAATTTTACTACTTTATTGAAGTGCTAAATGACATACTTATAACATCTGTATGGGTTTTTTATAATATTTTTCTGCCTTTCTAGCTTGTTATTCATGTATTTTCTTAAAGGAAAAATTACTGAAACAGCTCGAGAAGTTTTAAGTTAATCTCTGTGTGTAATTAGTGAAATTTTGTTAGTAAAAGTGTCAAAAGAGTACATTCGTGTGAGCTAAATAAATATTTTTTTAGGTACAGACCATCTGCTAAACAGTTTCCAATCATAGTGAGCCAAGACTGTGGTCATGAACCAACTACCAAAATTATACAATCTTATGGAAATAATCTAACCCTAATTCAGGTTGGTTAGCTAGTTCTGTTTCTCCTAGGCCTTGTGAAAGGTCAGCTTGTGACTTTCTCCATATTATGAAAAAAAAGTTTTTATTCTTATACCAGATTAGGGTTAGTATACTTGTATAGATAAATTTCTTGTTATTGGGTTTGTTGGAAGCACAGCATTTTCTTTATAACTTGATTGAAAAATATGTATAGTTTTGCTGATATATAATACTTGAGAAAAGAATGTAAATGCTTGGGTCACTGAAGATAATCAGCTTAATTATTATCTGATTTTAACTGAGTGACAAAATTAATGTGATTGATAAATAACCAGTGTTATAACCAAAGTTGGAGGGTGACTTAACAAATGGTTTTCACTGAGCAAATGCAGAGTTGCTATTATTCAGACATTTCCTACAGTAATAAAATTAATGCTGCTGCTAATTGTCTGCTTAGAATATTATGAATTTGCAACAAAAATCTTTCAGGCGTTAACTAATTAGTTGTTTGAATTTGTTCAGTAATGTTGTCAGTTTTGTGACTTTGGAAATAATCTTTGTGATTGTAAAAGTACACTGAATCAGGATTTCTATATGAACTAAGTTTTTGACAAGATAACACTAATTATAATGAAAATTAACATGTAAAAAAAAAAGAGAGAGAATACTTTAAGGTTTTTTTTTAAAGCTTAGATATTTTGCACATCTTAATTAAGAGATTATTTTTTACAGCAAAAATTAAAAATATTCACTTATTTTGTGAAAAGTTTACAACTAATAATTTTATGGAGAGGCTATTTAATTGTCTTGGTTTAGGCCTAAATAAAAATGTGTGGATGTGACTACAGACATCTTTAACTATTTTTAAGTAATGCAACTGTTGGATTGAAGTTGATTTTGATCAGCTACACAAATGTTGTCAAGTTGAGAGTTCTGAATGCCAAATTTGGTGTAAAATTGTATGTAAAAATGGAAGATGATCTGAGTAACAGCATTTAAGTTACTTGCCTTTTTTTTTTAAGTTTATCCCATGAATTTCAGCTTTTAAAATATGGAAATATAAATTATAAAAACAAAACTTTCTAACTTTATGGTGAATAATAAAAAAAATGTAAAACTGCATAGATTAATGTTAATAATGGATTATATTAAAGAAAAATTTCTGCATTGGTGTTTGAAATGTATTAAAAAAGTATCACTTGTAGGTATTGTCTGTTTACTATTCTGTGAATTTCCATTGAAATATTTATTTGTTAATCATCTTTTATATATAAGTATTTTAAATTTCAGCAACCAGACTTGAGTGATATTCCTTTGAAAGGGAAAAAAAAGAAATTTAAAGGCTACTATAAGATTGCTAGACATTATGGATGGGCCTTGAAGAAAATGTTTCATGACTTCAACTTTGATACTATCATAATTGTGGAGGGTGAGAGGTTTTTCTCAATTTATAATAACCTAAGAATAATGGACCACAAGATTTTGTTCAAAAATGACTTTTTGTTGGAATCCATAATTTTTATCTTGTTGTAATATTCAAAATATTCCACAGTTTACAGGAATCAAAATATTTAACTGGTATTTTCAAATACAAGTGATTATTTCTTAAGTTTAGTTTTAAGACCTCTTCACACTTTTTATTGCTTATAATATTTGGAATCTTTTAGATGTTGAAAGGCTGCGGTTTAATAAATCCTAACAATAAATACAAACACATGCTAAAAAAATTGTAGATCAGTTTTTATACCCTACAAAACTATTAATAAATAGGGAAGTTGTAAGATACAAAGCATTCACCAGAATGTTTTAGAATAAATTGCAATACCTTACCTATGATAACTACGTTAACCAATCTTAATCAGAAAAAAGTTTAAAAAAAAAAAACTAGGCATTACACAAACATTTTATTTTAATTACACAAAAGTTGGTCACATTATTTCCTACCTAAATAAAAACTAATAACATTGTATAAACTTATTATACAGTTAATATTGTCATAAAAGTTTTATAGAATTTTGTTTTTGTAGATGTTTTAGGTATAGTTCTTCAAGAATCGTTTATTTTTATCACCTAATAAATTTTGTTCTTTCAATTCACATACAGATGACCTTGATATATCACCTGATTTTTTTGAGTACTTTCTTGCTCTGCTTCCCATCTTGAAAGCTGATCCAACTCTCTGGTGTGTGTCGGCATGGAATGATAATGGGAAAGAGTGGCTAATTGCCAATGATCCTGGTGAGTCAGATCTTAATTCAGAGGTAGCAAAATTTTATATTTCTGTTTAAAATATATTCTATGTTTTTACTTGTTTTATAAGAAATAGTAAATATTAAAAGTAGAAATACTGTATTGAGGAATATATGACTAATGTTTTGGTGCATTAAAATGGTCTCTTACCATGTCACTCAGTCTTCATAAGTGGAATACAACTGTTCAAGGGGTGATACAGTAGAACCTTGATTAATGGGCACCTCGAAACAATGGGCACCATGCCATTAAGGACAAACCTTTTCAATCTATTTCTTTTTTCCACTATTTGTAACCAAAATAAATTTTGCAATAATGATCACCTTGATATTTTGGATTAAGGGCAGTGTGTTTAGTCTCTTCTCTATATGGGCACTCGATAAAGTGGGTAGTTATCTTTGTATGCCTGTATGGTGTACTGCTAAGTTCCAAGCATCCCAAAATGATGACCAATATTCAAACACTTGTGATGTTTATTTGATTGGTTCTGAACCATGTACTGTAATAAATATTTTGACAGATTAAAAGTGCAGTCTTATCACTGGAGAATTCTCATTGGAAACACAGTAAGATACATAAGCTGATAAATTTTACATCATGTTCTCGGGGAACGGATCAAGTCGGCTTATTTCTGTGCACATGCTTTGTTACTATCAAGAGTTATGTGTTATGGTGTCACATAAACAGTCTAAAGACACAAGTGGTGATTTGTTGCTTTAATTTCAGCAGATTTCTTCTTTACTCATTGACAATAAAATAAACACAGAAAATAAATGTGAAATGTTTAGCAATTCAAACTCTGAAAAGAAGTACTTTGGAATTTTGTGACCAATAATAAAAAAAAAAAGGCCATAGCTAGTCCACTCCCTGAGACCTTCTGTTGATAATGCTCCACCTCATGGAATGTGGAACTCATGAACATCCATTTCCTGCTTTAAAATTCAGAAATTTAGTATGGTCAATACGGAATCCAACTTTGCGTGGCTCATTTTTTATATTAAGGGCACCTTGCTATAGAGAGCGTTTGGATGCAGTCAGAAGGATGCCCTTAATGTTGAGGTTCCACTATATTGAATTTTGTGTTAGATTTGTCTATATGGAATTCCTTTTATTTAAAGTTTGATTTCTTCAAATATTTCCACCTGAGAGGACTGTGATGTAATAGTTTATCAGTGTTTCCCATGCACGTGCTTTGCACAGTAAAAACATCATGTTTGTAATAAAGTAGAGAGAAAAAAATGTTATTCTCAATCATATAAAATTACCTTTTGGATGCATTTGAACTATAAATTATAATGAACCATGTAGAAAACCAATGTGGATATGATTATCCTTCCTTACCATTGTGGCTAGGCATAAAGTTTAACTGGAGTTGTGGGAAGACCACACTTCTGCTACATGCACATTGCTTTTAGATCATGTCATTATTTGATAAGAGTATGTAACCTTAGATCATTGGTAAGATTATGAGAATAAACAAAAATATAAATTAAAATGTATTTAAACTTTAAACAACACATTTTTTTCGACCATTTTTACTTGTTTAATGACTTACATCAATAAACTAAAATATAATTAGTACACTAAAGATTTTTGTATATTCTCCTAGAAAGATAATAATTTGTAAAAATATTCCCATTTTGCTTTAAGTGATTTTTTTTTAGTGGAATGAAACATCGTAAGCTTACTGTATTAGTAAAAGTCTGAATACTAGAAAGTTGTTGAAATTTTGAATTTATTTTGGAAGCTTATAAGCTAATTATAAGGTTTATGAGACTGTGTGATAATAACTCCTCCCTTGGTAGCTCAATGACAAGTCAGTGGGCTTATAACTCTAAACATCAGGTTTTGATACTTGCAGTGGGGAGAGCACAGATAGCCCATTTTGTAGCTTTGTAATTTATGACAAACAAACAAGATAACTAACATGTTAATCACCAAATTAGATCAAGGAAGTAGATGGATAAACATTGTTTTGAACAGTCATCATGAAACCAGTTATTTTCTATAGAGTTAACATGTTAATCACCAAATTAGATCAAGGAAGTAGATGGATAAACGTTGTTTTGAACAGTTATCATGAAAACAGTTATTTTCTGTAGAGTTAACATGTTAATCACCAAATTAGATCAAAGAAGTAGATGGATAAAAGTTGTTTTGAACAGTCATCATGAAACCGGTTATTTTCTATAGAGTTCTTTTCCTTTTTTTAGTAAAATTAAATAGGTGGAATTTGAAGCTGGTTGTAAATTATTATAATTTTTTATTAAGTGTGATCTTTCTCTTTTTTGAATTACTTGTAGAATGTAAATAATCAAAAACATATTTAGTAATTTGACAGTGTAGCAGCATATATAAATTTTTCCATATTGTATTTTTCCTTGAATACATTATTAAAATACTTCCTGTTGTTGTTAACTTAATTCCAGAACTGTTGTACAGAACAGACTTTTTTCCGGGTCTTGGGTGGATGATGAGGAAGAAGTTGTGGTTAGAACTAGAAACTAAGTGGCCAGATTCGTAAGTTTTTCAGTTTTTACACATTTTCACAAAAGTAGGGTTGAATGTTTCTGGTTTGTTCAGAAAGAAAGAAAAATTTGTATTTAAAAAAACCTGCATATTATATTAAACTTTTACATTTTGTTTTAGATTAAAAATCTTAAATTAAAATTGATACTCTTGATTCTGGTACACAACTTCTTTAAAGCTCAACTATGAGTTAACTTTTTGATTTTTATTATCAAATTATAAATTAGTGGCTAAAAGTTCTTATGTTTCGTTTGCATTGTTTTTGTCATAGCTTTTCTTTTTCATTGTAGATTTTTAATCAGAATGAATTTCTTTTTCACGGTATTTTTATATGAAATAAATTTTGTTCAAAGGCAGAATTTCTTCAGATTTATTGTTTCATTTTGATGTTTCTCTAATACTGTAGTAATTGTTGAACATGCTTAACACGTAAAGGTTGATTAACTTCAGAAAAATTTGGAGACTGTGATTTTAAAATTTCAAGTAACACTTATTTCATAACAATATTTCTGGGCAAAGTGTGAATCTTTGATATGTGATAGTGTTTGTTTTTAATAAAATTTTATTTTATTGTTTTTGTTTAATAGCCTGTGTTTAATATTGCAGGTTCTGGGATGACTGGTTTCGACAACCAGCACAAAGGAAAGATCGAGCTTGTATCCGTCCAGAAGTATCTCGCACTAAGACATTTGGAAAAATTGGTGTTAGTCGGTAAGAATTTTCTAATATGCTATTTCATCATGTTAATAACCTGATAATAGTGTGTTTAAGATTCTTATCAGTCTATAAGCTGAGATCTTTAATATTCGTGGCTGTTTGTGGATGAGATTTTCTTGCATGTGCTTGGAGTTTTATCAGTCTGATAGTTATTTAATCGTAAATTCAGATAAAAGCTCAGTTGGATCAAGTATCCTGCTACCTGGAAAATATTGTAATGCTTAGAAATGTTGGCTTCATTTAAGTCGGTACTAATCCTTTCTAGTTTTATTGCTCTTACTTAGAAACTGTTTCTTAAACTGAATAATATGGTGTGACTGTGTTTACATTCCTAAAGAATCATATTAGCCATATAAAGTACATTGTTTATTCACATATTTCTTGCATTCATAAAATCATACCATAATGTTATTTCCAGAACTCAAAATATCATTCTTTCTTTGTCTGTTGTAATTGAGTTTGTTTTACTTGTTATTTTATTAGAGGCATGTTTTATGACAAGCACCTTAAGTTCTTCAAGTTAAATGACAAGTTCGTCCAGTTCAGTAAAAAAGATCTGAGTTATTTATTCAAAGTAAGTGTTGTTGTTGTTGTTTTTTTAATGATATATTTTGCTATACTTTCACTAACAAGTTCTAATTAACAATTACTTATGTAGTTTTTTCCCATTGATGCTGTTATTGCTTGACCCAGGAAAAATAAAACTTATTAATATATGATATTGAATTAATAAATAATATAGTATTAATATTTTTTTTACCCTAATTCAGATTTGTTGTGACAAATGAAATCGATGAACAATTACATTTTCCTAACTCAATCCACTTTACAACTTAATCCACTTTACACTGTATCATTTGTGGTCCAGCAATTGATAATAAAAATAGTATCTCAACCACTATTATGTCTGTAAATTGTTAAAATAGCAAGTTAATAGCTAATGTTTTTTTCCACACTCCTCTTAATTAGTTTGTTGTTGCTGGAAATCAAAGATGTGTAAAGAAAAAAATAGTATTTCAGATCTGTCTTTTATCTCTTACAAGTCACTGCCCATTAAGCTTTCCTTTCAATACTAGATCTTTTCAGTTAGGCTGGACAGTAAGAGACAAAAGATTTTTTGAAATGCTATTTATATACACAATGTAATGCTATAAAAGTTATTGTTTAAACACTGAAAGCCAGTAAAATATTGACAAACCAATAGGCCTAACATGTGTTATAAAGACATGATGTTTAAACCACTACTATGTCTGTTGTATTCCAGCTGATGTGATGAGCCCTTGTATTAGGCAAAAGGTCTAATCAGCAATGGATATATCACATATAGTGTGTTAACATTTGATTATAAATTTTTCTCTATTTTTACTCAGAAGTTCTTATTAATAATTGCTCTGAGTATACTTATTATGATGTTAATAATAAATTGGATCAGAAGAATACCTGTAAGAATTTCAAGACTCGTGTTGAAAAAGTAGATGAATCTAGTAACTAATAAAGCTAACCTTCCAGTACATTTGCATCAGTTTAAATTGGGCTTCAATTTAAATCAACAGAACTTAGCACTCCAAATTTTAAACCTATTCTGCTTTGCATGCATATGTACTCTCTAAACCAAGAATTACTAAATTTTCTTGGTACCTTTAGTTATTTTTGTACAAATTTAGGGGTTTTGGCATTAGCAAGCATCGTTACTAAAGTTGTTACTTTTGTAATTGGCTGACTGTGTTTTTAAAGGTCATACATTCAGTGTTTTGCTAAATCCTTCTTTAGGTCATGTTCTTAAGAGTTAAGAGTGTTAAGCACAGTGCAGCCATATCAAAAAAACTTGATTTTGCAGGGAATTAAATCCTGTTTGGTTTATTTTTTTTATGGAGTCTCAGTATCTCAGACATAATTTGCTTTGAAAGCCTTGTTTTTGGTTTACTCTTGGTATATGTTTTTCTTACATTAGCTTTCTTTCTCTCTCTCTCTCCCCCCCCTTAAATTTTAATTCTGTCACAACTGATGAGCACCTTTCAGGTGTTGAGTGCACACCTATATATGAAATTTCAAAATTTGATTACAAATAATAATTCTAACTGTATTTCAATAATTATTAGCCACAAAATATTTTACAATATTGGAATTTTTTGTTATGTTTCTGCCCATCCCAAAGCATAGTTTTATATTTGTTAAGAAACGGTAGTCCTGTGAGGATATAATTATTCATGTGTTATTTCTCTCGTCTTTTTTTTCCTTTTCTCTATTGAGGTGTTGTTGTTTTTTATTACAGCCCTTCCATTCCATACTTTTATAAAGTAAATAGCACAGGGTCTGAACAATCACTACTGAAGCACATCTTTGAAAATAGCTACAGATAAAATTTAAATACCATTGGATAGAGCAATAATTTATGGTTTTGTAGGAAAATTAACTAGATTATTCTTCCCAGAATGAAAGGAAACTAATGGGAAGTTTAGAAGACTTGGAAACAAACCACAACTCTGAGGATCTTTTATTGTTTCTTCAGATCGTCTTTTAATTTCTTAAAATGTTGATGTTTTAAGTTATATCTATTTAAAAGCTGTGAAAATTTTCTTCAATGACAAGACATCAGAAAAGCTTAGTTAGGTTTATTGAGTATTGTAGGTGACAACAAAATATTCTAATGGCTTAAATCCTTATTTATGGAATATTATTGTTAAGTTTATCATATTCAAACTGCATAAATAAATGAAATAACATATTATTTATTGGAAAGAAACTGTAAATTGACCTTGACCAAGAATATTGTCTAGCCTGATAAAAGTAATTGTGACATCACAGTGAAAGTTCAGGTCATAGGTCACCAATAAATCTGTCAGTTTTTGCAATGTTTTTCATGATTTTAGCTGAAAGTCGTGGCTACTACAAACAGCAGAATCAGGTATCGAAAGAAATATCTTGGTTAATATTAATCAAGCTAAAATTTTCTGATCGACAAAAAAAATGAAGTATTTTAATATTTTTCAAAATAGTATTTCATAAAATGT